GCCTTCATGACTTCTCTAGGGCTGCACTGTTCCTGTGGAACTCCCTTCCCTTTTCCATTAGATTAGTCTCCAGTCCTTCAAAAAATCAAGACTCACTTTTTCACATAAGCATATCAATTTAACTGTTAATGGCTCCAAAACTCCACACTAAGTCTACATTGAATACTATTCTACCAATCTACTTCCCTAATACTTTCCTTACCTTTTGTGTCACTTTACCCTACTCCCTCTAGTATTTAAGCTCATTAAGCAGGGCCCTCAACCCTTCTGTTTCTGTGCGTCAAACTTGTCTGGTTACAATTGCATGTTTGTTAATCCATCCATGGTAAAGCGCTGTGGAATTTGTTGGTGCTATATCAATATAATAATAATAATAATGTATAAAACCATTCTGATGCCTTGTCTGATAACTCTCGCAGTTGGATTAGTAAGAGCCATGACAGAGCCAGTAAAGACCTCTCCAAATCCAAAATTTTGAAGTACTTCCTTGAAGAAGGTCCAACTGATTTGTTTCGGCATCGAGGGAGACAAATATTGATGGTATCCTTTTGGAACATGCATATTCTATTAGGCTAATGATTTTCCTAGTATTGTCATTGTCTCTCTTTAACAAATCCAACCTGCTCTTTTTCTAGTAATATTGGACAAATATTTTTTAATCGTGCCGCCAACATGGCAGAATATATTTTTGTGTCAGTATGAAATCAGTGATATAGGTCTGTAGTTAGATAATTTTGTGTCTTTCACTATCTTTGGTATATGTAGAATAAAGGCTTGGAGCATTTCAGGTGGAGAGGTTTCAAAATCTCTGACTTCTGTGCTAGATTTTTAAAAGTGGTGCAAAAAGATAAAGGTAGAGTATTCACCAATTGAATATTACTGTTGATTGCATTGTTTTCCTTGGTCTTTCCACTTTCCACAAATTTTCAGAGCATGTCACCTGATAAATCACCATTACTGAATCCATAGATTTATGGAAAAATAATTTTTATACAATGTTTATTACATTTAACAAATAAGAAGTAATATCAGAAATGGGCAGATGTATCTTGTTATGTTAAATTATTTCATTTTTATTTGACTACTTATTGTTATTTACAAAATGCCATGTATTCATTAATTTGCAATATCCATTAGCTATAAAAACTTGAAATATTCAGCGTGGTGTGTTTTCATAAAACTTCAGTTTCAAGTAGAAAATTATAAGCTGTAATAGCATAAGGTATGTTTATGAAGATTAATATTGTAAGGGAGATAATGTATTCTATATCAATTAAATAAAGTTAAGGGATACCTTTTGACTTGTGGTTACAGCATGACATATTTTAAATTACATAAAAATTAATGAATTCCAATACCCAATATTCAGTAATGAATTTCAGGGATCAATGAATATATCAATTTTAATAACAAACTCATATGTTTAAGAGAGTTGGCATTTTTTTTTCTTTTTGCAAATAAAAGTTATTGGTGATTATGGCACTCCAGAAAAGAAGGGATTAATACTAACAAATGTTTGCATTCTTGAGTTATAGTAATACTAATCTATGGCAATATACAGTATGGTATAGACTCTATGAGCAGTATTTTGGAATATTTATTTCATTTTACAGAGGAACTGTTAGGATTGGTAAATAACAGTGGATTTAACATAGTGTTTCTTTTAAAAGAGACAGATATATAACTAGCATGAATCAATTGTGTAATTCATGAGAACACAAAATCAAACTTGTTTTTGAATTTATTAAATGATAGCTCTAATACGCATGAATGCACATACAGTGAATAAAGCCATTAATCCATATACGTTTTAGTGTTTTCACATCCAATCCTTATATAGAGCATGTAGAGGACATATACTGAGGTTGTGCTTCACACCAACTCATACATAGAGCATATAGTGGACACATATACTTAGACTGCGCTTCATACCAACTCATACATAGAGCATATAGAGGATACATATACTGAGGTTGTGTCTTCACAGTAAATCATACATAGAGCATATAGTGGACGCATACTGAGATCGTGCTTCACACCAACTCATACATAGAGCATATAGAGGACACATATACTTAGACTGTGCTTCATGGCAACTCATACGTAGAGCATATAGAGGATACATATACTGAGGTTGTGTCTTCACAGTAAATCATACATAGAGCATATAGTGGACGCATATACTTAGACTGTGCTTCATGGCAACTCATACATAGAGCATATAGAGGATACATATACTGAGGTTGTGTCTTCACAGTAAATCATACATAGAGCATATAGTGGACGCATACTGAGATTGTGCTTCACACCAACTCATACATAGAGCATATAGAGGACACATATACTTAGACTGTGCTTCATGGCAACTCATACATAGAGCATATAGAGGATACATATACTGAGGTTGTGTCCTCAAAGTAACTCATAAATAGAGCATATAATTGACACAGATACAGAGGTGGAGTCTTCATATCAACTCATATATAGAGTATATATTGGAAACATATACTTAGGTAGAGTCCTCACATCAATTCATACACAGAGTATATATAGAGGCTGAGTCCTCATAGTAACAGAGTATATAGTTTGCACACACTGATGTTCTGCTTCACACTAGGTCACACTACCTGTTATATACAAGTGTATACTTTAATCAGTCACCCAGGGAACCTCTCTCTTACCGTGGGTATTGGCCTCTTCTTTGTCTACAGGACTGCGGAATTCAATCAGACTTTATAAACAGACACGGAGATAGATTAACTGCTACAGGCCTTTTTTTCAGCGGCAAATGTTGAGCAGAGTTAGATTATGACTAATCTTTAGTTCCCCCAAATACCTTTTCTAGCAAGCAGAAAAAACATTCCATTGAAAGCAGGGCCAGACTGGGCCCAGGCATTTTTTAATCACAGTGGCCCACTGAGAAGGGAGTAGGGCCAGTGAGGGTGTTTTGTCATCCCCGATGACAAGCACGCCCCCTCTAAAATGAGCATGTTGGTTCAATGTTCTTCTAAGGCAGCCCATTCTCATTCCTTGCATGAAAAAAAGGCCCTGAATTTGTTCTGCACAAGCAAACACAGCTCATGCATGTTAATTAATTTGCTTGCACTGGGTTTGCCTGTAACTTGTCTCTGGTGTCTCCATAAGTGGCCACTGTTAGGCCACTGTCTACAATCTGGGTTTCTAATGCCACATTGGTTCACCCATGGTTATGACAATACAATACATATCGTACAGTGTAGTATATTTTTTTTAAATGATTCACAATAACAATATACAAGCCCTTTTTCATCTCCTCTGAGTTAGTTCAAAAACATATGTAGAGTCATCACTTGCCTTGTCACAATTGATTTTAAAATGGGACCATTTTCTGTATAATGTGACCAAAATAAACAATCAGAGAATAGTGACAAATATGGTAATAAAGATATTTAGTTTCGGCTGAAAACAGGTAACAGCAGCTGTCAAAAACCGTAATAACTGACTTATTTACATTAATACACTATTACAAATGTGTTCATTGTTTTGCTTTCTTTTTATTTCTACATTTCCATCATTTAACACCTGTTTAACGACATGTGTTTGGTTTCTATGTCTATCTGAAAATAGATATTTACAATTTCTTATAATAAAAAGACATTCAAAATGCCTTGGGGAAGTGGATTCAAAAAAATATAAATCTTTAGAAAATAACTGAACTATATTAAAGGTATACAATGTTAAAAGTGAGCAACTAAACACACCAGATGCTGCTTTCAAATATTATAATGCACTAATAAAACAGATATGCATAGCTAAATTGAGCTGAAATTGCAACATAGTGTGATCTGCTGTATATTGAGAAGTATACAATGAGAACTTATAATAGTAATCATGCTGAAAGAGCATTTATATTGTGCCGTTTTTGATGAAAATATAGATGCTGTAACAGTATTAAACACCAACAGTGTCCCTACCAATCAACAGTTAGATCTGTTAATTATTTATTCTTCTTTGTATTTGAAAATAAACGAAAAAGAGATAAGGAAAACATAGTGTAGTACCATTGAAAATTACATTTATTTACAATTTCAGTGATGGATTGCTTAACATTCTGTAATAAGCACATATTTAACAAAAAGGCACTGAGCGAGACCATACAATGATGCTGCCAGTTCTCCCAGAGTGTGTCACTTTCTGTTCTCTGGAAGGAAAGGAAAAAAAAATCATGCTTGATCACAGTAGTGCTATATTATCAATGTTTATTGAAGAGAAGTAAATCATTAACGATTTAACCCCTTAAGGACACATGATGGAAATATTCCGTCATGATTCCCTTTTATTCCAGAAGTTGTGTCCTTAAGGGGTTAAAGGAAATAGTTCATTAAAGTTTGAAAATACGTTCTAGGCAATATATGGGTTTGTAAAGTAGAAAATACTATCAATTGGCATACTACGTTTTATTACTTTAGAGAAAAATTACGAAAGAAACTGTACTATACCCACATTTGTTTAGGAGGCATGCTGTCGCAAAGTATGAACTTGCTACTGTAATGTGGCCCTGAGTGTTGGAGACCAAGTGCTAATAATAGATAAACAATAGAATGTAACCTTAAAGGGGAATCAAAATATACGTAACTTGCTAGAAATTACTTTTTGTGCAGTGGCAGCTACCCTTTTTAGGTTCGTTCTTGAAAGCCTTTTTAAGCATCCAGCATATATACAAAGAAACAAGTGGAGTTTCAGCTTATCCTAAACAAAAAATAGATACAAACAATAGTATAATTGTAACAATGCAAATCACTATAAAGATATGGCTTGCACTTATAAGATATATGAAGATATAATGCCTCAAAGCCTCCCAGGGCTTCCAAGGGAGTGACAAATATACCTCCTTCATTTTAGGTCTACACAGGAATACTC